TAGGCCATCTGCTCGATTGCCAACTTTGATATAAAAAAAACTGAAAACTCTCAGTTTTTGCTCTTTAATATATGATGAAATTCTCTCGGTCATATTCAACCGCGATAACTTATTCATAAAATTATAAGTTAGGATGGCAGCTATTTATTACTTTGATGGGGTTATCAGGGCAATTATAATTTTCTAGAAGCATTATTTTCCTTTGGCAACACTTAAAAGTTGAAAAAAGTGAAAAATGTAAATTATTGATAATTAATATTTATAATTATAATTGTTTTTTTTTTACTGGCAATATCTCACTCTTGCTACATTAATTATATAATATAACCTATATATTTAACTCAACGATTAAAATATTAAAATACATTTGTAATATATTTACTGAGATTATTTATTACTACATTTTTGTTCTGCTCCTCCAATACAAAAATTCAAATAACTACGGAATTGCCTAAGCTTTAGTGACATATCTCATGGACAGAAGCTATCAATCCTGAACTGATGATACTCTAGAGAATACAGAAGTAAAAAAGAAAAGGTAACGATATCAAAAATAGAACTGAAAAGTGAAAACAAATAAGATGCATATATATATAACTGTTTAGTTTTAGATCAATGTCCTGTACAAATGAAATTAAGATAATATTTTAATAAGTATAATTTTTTTAAACTTTTAATGATAGGTGGTGAGAAAATTTTAAGTTACTATTATTTTAAATATTTTATCTAAAAAGAAATTGGAATACTTTAATGATAAACTGTGATTTATATCTTCAGATATCATAATAACAAAAGAGGGGTTTTTTGTATACCTAGTGATACGTTATAGATATTGAAAAACATATTGTGATAAAATTTTACACCTGTCGTATCTTTCTAACTTTACGGGATTGTTCAATCAAAAGTGTGGATGACTATTATAAGATAAAATAATTTTAGAATAAGCAAGAAATATTTTTAATTGCAGAATAATTTCGGTTTGCTGAGACGCAATAAACTTTTTTTCAAATGCACTTCTCAAATTCTTAATTATCATTATTTTTCTAATTTCTTTGCTTATTGCTTAACTGAAGCGAATAAATAATAAGACGACTGCTTTTAAAGGAAAGTTGAATATAGTTTTCAAGTAACTCTCCAAGATTAATTATTAAGAAAATCATTTTATCAAACACCAGTAAGGAGGTGAATATTTATATAAAGTTTATTTTCTGAATAAAATACCCAAAATAAAAAGTCGTGTAATTTTCAAAATTTTCAATAATGTCTTTTACATATGTTTGCAATTGCTTTATAGCCTTGGGTAACTTTTATCAGTAACGAGAGTTAACAAGAAACTTGGCAAATTTAATTCGCCTTTTTCCTCCTTCATTTTAGAGGCTATGCAAGAAGAAATTTCCTGAATTGGGACAAGAAACTTTCATAACGTTTTTTGTCATAGAAATAACATGCACATAAACTTTCTAATAACTAATGTGTGCATTTTTGTGTCTATTAATATATAAAACAATATGATTGAGAAATTAAATGTTATTTAATAAAGCAATGAAAGCAATACCTCTTTGCCATTCTACAGAGGTATTTCTGAATTTTTATACATATTTATTTATTGCTGCAAATAACTAATACTAAAAATTTTATTTACAAATGTGCTACATTCGCGATACATATAACAAATTTAACGAACACCGTCGTTGTAACACGCTATTAAATATTATATAAACAACATTTTATCTACTTTACAAATACAATTAAATCAAGTAGGTATATCACAAATAATAATGGTGCGTAGCCTTCGTAGTAAAATATGTCACAACGCAATATTATTTTTCTTTTTGCATAATATTATAAAATAGACCAAATTTCTTGATATAGACTACATTCTTACCTTAAAAATGTGCAAGAGAAAATAATAAGTTAAGTCTAAATTATCGCTTGACTTGAGCACTTCATTTTAATCAATTCTCGCAGGAAGCCCTGGGCTATAAAGTTACGGTATCTTATATAACACAAATCAGAAAACTATCTTATTAATTAATGATTTTGGATTTCCTTCTTCAATTATCCGTCATTTGCACGAATCCATGAAAACTTAGGTAGCATGCCAAGTTTCAAATTCAAGCAAAACAAAAATATTTAGGTACTATTTCTTAAAACTGTATTGTGAAATCTACCTAAATCTTAAAATTTACACATTAAAAAGACTTAAATTTCATGTTTATATCTACTTTACATAACGTCTGTGAATTTTATTCAATTTACTTACAATTTTTTTTAATGTTATTGAATCTTTTGAATAATACGATTACATTCTGTATGATAATTGTCATAAGATTAACCTAAAATTAATAAAACTATATTTTTGTTATTAATACTTTTACAAAAAAACCTAAAGTAATTAATTAATGTCATCAGCCTATCAGAAGCCCACTTCTGAGCAAGGCCTCTTACTCACATAGAGAAGGTTTGAGCATTAATCACCACGCTTGCTCCAGACGGGTTGGTGATTTCAAACTTATAATTGTGAAACTATAAGTCCAGGTTTCCTCACGATGTTTTCCTTCACCGCATGTCAGTGATGTCTAAATATTCTCAGAAAGTACATATGACTCCGAAAATCACATTGGCACTTGCAAGATTTGAACCCGCGCCCTCGGCAACGAGAGGTGGGCCCCTTAACCACTAGGCCACCACTGACTGTAATTAATTAGTCAAGTGAAATTGAAAGATTAATTAAATACCACAATACGTATGACATGAAGGTTATTACTTTAAATCACTTTGTTTTATTATCCAAAATATATGTGTGGAAAGTTTAATGTCAACCAGTCCACGATAGTTGTTTTATTATTTATTAATAATTAATAATATTCTATAGTGAAAGCATTTTATATAGAGATATATTTTTATTCAGTTTTATCATTAAAAATTCACTAACTACATTAAAATAATCATAAAATTATATGTATTCAAATTATTCAGGAGAAACTTAATTCGAGTATAAGTCATACTTATAACAACTTAATACCTTATGAAAAGACATATATGTGTTCATGTTTAAAAAACAATGAACAATAATATAATTTATCAAACCCAAAAAAAAGTATAGGAATAAAACTACGTTGTTTGAATGATAAAATATAATTTTACGTAGAAGCAAATAATTACAATCAGATTTAATTTTTTTCTTTTATTTATTAAATCTAGGTCTAATAGTTGGGCCATTGTTAAAAGAGTTTTTTACTTTTTTGAGTTTTGCAGTAAAATTTTTAGTAAATTATTCCTTAGTATTTTTTATCATTTTAGCCTTCAGCGGCATCGTATTGGACAAGTACCAGTACATATGTCACAATAGTTCCCATCATCTACAAGAATATTTATTACTAATTAAAACAAAATGACTCGCTAATAAGACGTAATTGAAAACGCACAATGTATTTATTACCTGTAAAACGATACTTCTATTTATATTAAAGAATCCCATGCCGGTTAGTGCAACGTAACTCTTAATGAGCTGTTTTTGAAGCCTTTGCACCTGTAAAAAATATTTTCTCAAAAACTAATTCAAATCTAACTATTATAATAAGCCACGTGGAAACAGCTCACCTCGATGTTATAAACATTTTTTTGACAACTGAATAAATGTGGTAGAGCCATAGTAGAATACTTATTCACATCAGCAGCTGATAGAATAGTGTAAACTGTCCTACCACCCACCCAAAGGAGATCAATCAAGAATATATAATTTTTAGTACCATCATTCGATATTCCTTGGCTTTAATAACAAACAAATTACAGTTATGCAATATTAATAAATAAAGTATTTTAAATCGAAATATAATATGTCACTGTTAATATAACTTACACAATTCCGTAAAATAGTTGCAGGCAAATAAAATAAAAGTTAAAAAAGTTGTAGACAAGAACTAGTCCACCCAAGGAGTTATCAATGCGGCGAACTAACATCGCCTGTTTTATATACGCCTCCCTTATCTTTCTCCATGCGTATATTTGTAACATATCTTGATCCTTAAAAAAAACTAATAGTAGTGTCAACATTCGGTTTAAAAGATCGGTATCAAAATTGTAACTCTAGGTTATTAAGTGTTAAACCCAACTAATCACATGATCAACAAAGGGAGCTTCCTTTTGGTATTGTATGGGTTGGCTTTAGGAGATTAGTTTTATGGAATATTTTGACGGCTATAAAATTTACACATTTTTTATTGAATAGTTTAATCTATTACCTTATTCCAGTCTATATTTCTATTACTTTCTCCAATCATAACCTTTACGCACTCATTCAATCTCCGGTATCTAGAGGCTAAACCCATGCTGAACAGAATAATTAGCAAATCTTGAAAGATCCAGATAAGATTTGCAATCACACTCATAAAAAGAGTGAGAATCCCCAGAAAATCAGAATATTCTGCTGTGTATTAGAATTTGAATATTTCATTTAATGCTAATAATAGATATTTAATTTTTTTTTGTAAAACTTACATTCACGGAGCAGGAATCCATGAGTTTTGAGAATAATTTGTTTTAAACAAAATGGTAATTCACATTGAAAGTTAATGGCATACAATACGTCTAAGACATATACAACTGAAATATAAGCAGATAAATACATATAAATTTCAAAATGCTATAAAAGACATATATTTTGCATATCTCTTTAAACTTCTTTGAAAACTTGTCTAATTATATATTATAACACTTGTAATACCTGACCCACTCATTACTATAATAAGAGTAACTCTGTACATCCTTTTCCTTAATGTTTTGTCACGTGACATATATCGTATATTTTGCGACCATTCCACTGAAGCCCAGTACATAGATATGTCATTCCAAGAATTCCATATACGATTACTTTGAATGAATCCTAATAGTACAGCAGTGTAAAACATTAAGCCTGCAAGTCTCGCAGCCACACTTCCTGTAAAAAAATATATAATGAATAAGGTAAAACTCAAGATGTAATAATTATTTATAAGATATTATGAAGTACTGTGTCCTGATATATCAACAGCTACTCCAGTTAGCGCCCTCATGACTTTTTTAGAAGCTTGACCTTCAATAGCAAGCAAAAGGCAAAACAGGGTGAGCGCATACAGCTTCCATGTAATTCGACTGGATCCAACAATTCCTATCCATCTCACCCAACTGAATACGTTGGACATCGTAAGTATGAAGTCCTAAAAAGAAAATATCTATTACTAAAAAAAAGATATAAAATTGCTTTTTAAGTACATATGTAATTCGATTTCGTCGCTATTGAAATTTCTACATATATAATACTTATATACACTTATATATATACTCGTACATGTAAGTTATATAATAAAATAATATAATTATAGTAACAATTATTTTACTCACATCATGAAAAGTTTCTTTTAGAAGTGTTAGATCGGTGCTGGTCTCTCTGTTTAGTAACATTTTTAAAATTTCAATTTCTGACAATAATTTAAATTTACGCCGAAAACATACTTTTCATTCAATGACAGAGTTAAAATAATTAATTTTTCTTCAGTTTATAGAATTAAATTTTATAAGTATTTTCCATAGGTATCACGCTAACTGTAAATTAATAACAGATTTAAAAATTCTGGTGTAAGATAATACAAGATTGATTGTTTTTTTTAAACAGACAGTATCGCGGAATTGCAATTCATTTATTACAAAGAATCGACTACAAACAAATGGTCATAACGAAAGTGGCATTAACATTACATAAACGTTATTAAAAAATATTTTATTTTTTATACACTTAAAGCGAAGTTAAGAATTTAATAAAGTTAAATTTAAAACCGTATTTCATATATTTTCACTTATTTTGCCGTCATCAAGTTTTTTATGAAATCCTTTTTTAAGAGACGATGTTGCTGGCACGTTCTAAAATAAATCATCTTAACATTGGTAATGAAGCTCACGTTTACAACTCAGATGATCCCTGTGAATTCGATTTTAAGGCTCACCGCGTTTTAAAGAATAATACATTTCAGATAGATATTATTGTAAAAAATGTTTTTTTTTTATTCATTATTATACGAATATACATCTTAATAGACGTGTAATGTTAAGAACCTATTATATTTAATATCCTGTATATCTATTATATTTAATATCCTGTAACCATTAATATTGTTATTCTTACCTTGATATAAAAATCTTTTTTTCATATTTAAGCGTTATTTTTTAAATTTATATAGTATGTATTAACGTTAATTTACCCATCTGGATCGTTTCGTGGATTTAAAGGAAAAAGCACTTGTTGCAGAGTTGCAGACGTTTCTAACAAAATTTTCATTAGAAGATATCTGTAATAAATTCCTGAATTATTCTAACATTACCCAATATTTATATAGTATATATACAAAATATTAATGATGAATATTCTGTACAAACATTTTTAAATATGTAGAATTTGAATTAATACTTTTTTTTTTTTGGGAGTTTGGATTGATGATATTACATCGGTACTTTTTACTTAGCCGAACTATTAGTAAGAAAAAAACTTTTGAAATATTTTTCTCCACTGCAAATATATTTAAGCACACAATTGTGTTACACAGCCGGAAAGCTTCCAAATATTGTGAGTGACTAGTTTAAAAACATACCCAAAATTAAGTTCAAAAAATAAACTGTATATTATAAATAATAACAGGATTAGTTATTATAAAATTGGATCATTGCAAAGAAGATGATCAAGTTATTGTTATTATTTATAACGGAACAAATAAGAAGGTTGGAAAGAATACAAATAATAATTTTTATGTTACTTTAAATAAAAGTTATAATTTTGGTATATTAAAATTATTATTTGACATTATAAGTCCAGAAATTAAAAGTAAACGATTTTGACAAATTAAAAGATTTAATAATATACTTCATGATAATTACTACCTAATGTACAAGTATCTACGTTGCATATACAATCATTTTTGCTTGAAGGAGTCAAAGCACAACTGTGACATTTCTATCCAATCGTGTTTAGGGTTCTGCGTAGAATCAGCATCTTCAAAATCCCTAATCGTATTGACAATATAAACAGAAAACCCTCTTTTATTGTTCTACTGTTAAAAATTACAAATCGTAAAACTTTATTAAAGATTACGATGTCGTATTACGACTATTTTATTATAGAATATATGATACATACACACAAATATGTATTTGTTAAAATATATATTAATAAGTCCGTAATTTTTAATATTTTTTAACCTCCTTCTAAATATAATGAAATATATTTTTAATACATAGTCATTATATATTAATACTACTAAAATAGATAACAAAAATTTCTGAGATTCTACCATTTTCAGAGAGTGCTTCAAATACGTCACATGCTTTAATGCTCCTATTACTCCAGTGTTTTTTTTTATTACGTGGAATAATTACATATTAGAAATTAACTGTACTCTCAGCTCAACTGCTTCCCTATGTATGAAAATAATACGGAAATAATTTGATGAGATCTAAGACTTTCGCGAGTATTCATTTAAACGAAACGAATAATTTTCGGATATACTACGAGTGCTTCATTTTTTACTACAAAAAACTACACTACTAACTACTACAACCTACGTACTCCTGACGTTTCGGTTAGTTTTCAGCAACCGTGATCACGGGCAGATAAAAATAAAGCATACGTAGTATATCTACGCAAGTTTTATTTATATATATAAAGATATTTGTTACATTTTAAAATAATGTGATTACGAATTCAAAAACATATATAGTTGCAGATTATATAAAAGAAAATATAAAGAATGAGTCGCTGTAGCATACTTATCGGAGGTCTGTCACCATATTTTTACTGTTGTGTCCTTATGGCTGAGGGACGTGATCATGGCGGGTTGCTTTTGTCGCCACACTTCTGCAGGCCACTCATTTCTGTGTCAGATGGATATTGGTCTGCATCTTCTTCCCTGTGACCTCTTCAACTGCATCAGTCCATCGCATGTGCGTACGTTCCACGTAATCCACTTCTGGTCGCATCAACTGAGAGGCCAACAGTTGGTAATGTATACAGTAATACAGCATACAGTAAATAAACTTGCATTAAACTTAAGTCATTTCGAAGAAACATTCCCAGAGGTATTTTAAAAAAGGTATGTAATGCAAGGCTGGAAACATACGACGAAAAATCATGGGTGCATGTTTTATTGACTAACTGAATACACTAAGTATGTTTTAATATACAAATAAAATAACAAGAAAGGAATTACCATAGAACAAACAAATCTCTTACTCCCAAGTTCAATTATATTTTATTGGAAATCGAAATTAAAACTAAGAAACAAGAAAAAGCAATCAGTATCTAAAATCGTATTAAGAAAATGAACAAATTATAAAAAGATTTTTTCGTCCCTCAAATATCAATGAAAAGAATTCTAAAGTAGTATTCCCCGTAATTTAAGGTAATTTTTTAAATTGAATTCATTTAATATCTATTTTGCGACCTTATATTGTAAACTAAACCAGAAATATTAAAAGAGATAATGGATTTTAAATACAAATATTTTGTAGATTGTATTTAATTATCAGGCATAAAAAATTCAAGAAAGTAGTAGGCTGCAATTTATGTTGAATGAATGATAGACTTTTGACAAATAAATATACAATAGCTCATACGTCACAAGGCTTCATTGTACCTAAAAATATTTGAAAAGTAAAGAGTCAAATGAAATCTAGCCATTCGTAAAAAGTTAAATTCGTTACTAAAAACAATCTTGTAATTTTTTTTAACCCACATTTTATTTACGGAATTGAAATTTCCTTGCACATAATACTGATTTTTCATGTACACTTGTTATAATACTGTCCAATAACTTTCAGATTTATTGTTGACCTTCGTGAATAGATTTTCAACACAGCGTTTATGAAGTCTGCTCTATAATGTACGCTGTGGTGGTAACTAGTATACCGACTTATATTTATTTCATTTTTATTTGGTTCTTCAGTAGTTTCCTGTCTGATAAATCTAATCTTCTGCTATAACAATAAAAATCTCATTTAAGAAATAGGTGGTGGAGTGCACTATGTAAATAATAATAATCTCCAAATTGTAAGTGAAAGAAAACAAAGACTCTGGCAAGTTATATTTTTATTAACCATATATTTTCTGGTCTAGAAGAGTTTAAAACAAATGGCGAAGTGTTATTTTCTCATATAATGGTAACAGTGAGTTAGGTTCCTACGATTTCAGGAGTCCAAAGAGTGCAATCACCTCTGAACATCAGGTAACCAGTATATTTACTTGTCACTTACCAGATATAAAATAATTATTTTCTCTACATTCACTCTATACATTCACTCCTGCAGCAATAAAATTTGTGCAGCTTGACAAATCTTGAATTTAAATGAATGCTATTTAAATTATGTACAATTTGCTAAAGTATTTTTTACAAAGTTTAGGTGTTGTTGTCAAACATGGAACAAAGTCATATTTTAGCGATATACTTTTACTTTAAACTAAACCCGATGCTTATAAAAAAAACTGTTTTGAAATTCATCATTGACTGAAACCCAATTTCATTTTTAAATTATTTTAATATCAACAAAGTTTTTGAGGCATAATCCTTTTGAATCAATAGCTTATAAGCGGCCATTAATCGTTGTCCTATACAGTAATTGCTTGCAATAGAAACGATCGACACGTTTTTAAATTATAGGTAATATGATGATTAATGTACATAAATGACTCGTTGTTTCTGGAATATTATTTAATAATACTTTATAGTGAGGTTCCTCGTATACTTTAAATATGATTTCTGAAATTAAGAACCCATAACCATGAAAAGAAACAAATTGTGAAAAAGATATAATGTAAGTATTATAAATATATTATTTTAATAAACCCATTAATTGAAATAGCATCCTATAATTTTTTTCAAGAATACCGTAATTATTTTAACAAACATCATATGCATTACTAAGTCTTTTGGTAAGAATTATTGACTTCAAAGGATATATGTATATAGAAGAAATTTGTGTAATTTGTACGAGTGCTTACCTGAACGCTTATAATGCTTATACATACTAGCTGACTTTGCAGTTAATACAGACAAGTGAATATAATTAAATATTTAGGTAAGCAAAGGTTACACTGTGATTTATTTTAAGAATTTTTATCTTATCTTTCAGCTCTTACAGAAATAGTAAAATAATTCTTAAATATTAAGGAATCTCAATTCTAAAACAAAAGAAAAATGTAGCAAGATCATCATTTTAAATCGTAACTTGATATTAAGTGAAAAAATGGAGATATATAATCGTTTGAAGGAATTTATTACACTTTTATTGATGTGACAAGGAAAGGCAAATAATCACGAGGTACTACAATATTATTTTATAAAAGATAAGTAATAATTTAAGTTATTTTATTTCCACCTTTGTTACATTCATATCCATTAAGCATGGTTTATATTTAAAACGTGATAACAGTGCCTAAGATTTTAAAGTACACATTTCAAAGTACTTAAGTTTTCCAAATACTACTCTTATTAAATTAATTTTTTCTCTATATGTTTTCGACGTTTCGGTTCCCTTACAGCAACCGTGATCACGGAAAGATGATATTGAAATTTGACAATGTTACTAAAAAATAATATAAACATATTACATACTGTTAAATTCGTTGCCTATTCCTGTTTACAAGATGAAAACTCGTTATTTTTAATAAGAAAAAATTGTGGAAAATAAAAATATAAGCGTTCATTAAAAATTTAAATCGTAATGACCTAGTAATATTTCTGTAATAAATAAAGAGAAAGAATAACTTTTTAAATATATAATATATAAATTACATCTGATAAATAAAGTTTAGTTTCTATTTACTACACGTGGGAAGATACTATCTATACAAAAGTTCGCGTGTCTATTCAAACGCTAGGTCACCATTACAATAATTTCGAGGTATTCTCTAGTTTAGAAAATAAAAATCATTTTAAGATTTTACATTGTTAAACATATGAGTAAATATTGTGTCTATATGACATTTGTTATCAGGAAACAGCGATCAATAATAATTACTTTAATTCCTCAATGACTAACAAGTAAATATCACAGGTATGATTTTGTTATTAAATTCATAAACTCAAAATAAACTAAATGAAATTCAGGAATTAAAATATCTTGCTATAAACAAATCAAAATAAATTTTGAAGTTTCCTTATCTTTATTTTTTTATTTACTTTTTTCTTCTTAAATAAAGTTTTTACAGATATATTATATGTAGACATTTTTAAATGATCATCATTGTATACAAAATTTTTATATATATTAAAATGTAACTTTATCATTACTTACCAGAGGAAATATGTATTTTAAATATATAAATATATATTATTTATTAACTGAACAGGTACTTCTCTGTGAATGGCTCACTAATTAGTAATTATATAAATGTTGAATTTTAAAAGTGTGACCGAAAGAAAATACTCCGTATAAAATGTTTACGAATATCCGTTAAACGTTGACATTCAAAACATTAAATGAAAATATGTCACGACGTTAGATTTTCACAAACTAGACAAATAAATAGTTAAATTGTAACAGTGAAGTATCAAACTAGTAAGAAACACTCAGTAAAATATTTGACTTTACGTGAACAAGCTATTAGACAAGTAAAGGATAAATGTAAAATAGTCCACTCATTACAGTAAAATCACCTCGGAATTCGAGATACCCAGCTGTGAGTCCGTCAAAACTTGTATATTGACACCCTAAAAGTTGTCACAAAACCTACGTATGGTCATTGGCCCTTTTTTTGGAAATATCTCATTTACTATGGTTATTTTGCTATTTGTATTTATTATAAATATGTTAGAATATAAAATTCTCTACAAAGTTTGTTAATTTTTTTTCTAAAATATATGCGTATTATGTATAATGGTGTGTGTGTGATGTTTTATAGAAGTCGTAATTAGTACATTACGTTGATAAAAACATTTTAACAACAAAATAAGACATTAATGACTAACAATAGAATCAGAATAACAAAAAACATTAACACTCCAATTTTGTGAAAATTGCTTTGTTTACGAAGGAACGTACACAGGTCTTTAAAAAAAATCATTTGTCATATAAGTTATTTAGGTTACAATTAATTTGTTTTGAAGTTCACATGGTACTTGAAAATCTAATGGTGTATTTTCTCCATGGCAGCAGGTTGTTAAACATATAACCATTTGTATTTTCATTTTGATCTTTTTCTGTCATCGAAAATATGTCAGTTTAATTTTATGTGTTAGAGATGTAAATAAAATGAAATCACTGTATATATTTCTCTTATTTTTCTTTCCAACTCGGTGAAACTATACTTTCAAGTATTCGTTTAACAATCGAGTATTCTAAAACTACTTTATATATTAAAATTGGATTTAGTAATAAACCAACTATACGTATGTAAAGCTCTGATTGAGTTGGACCAAAGATTTGACTTTTCGGTTTTATTTATGAAAATAAAAATGGTACTGTAAAAAAACAATAATTTCTAAACTTCTTCACAGGAATAAAACGATACTGGATTCTTACAGTCATGACAACCTAATTAAGTTTCGGAATTGTTTTACTATTGATGGAAGAAAATTGTATAAATATTAGAGAGAGAAATTGAATAGAAACTATGGATTTTGCAACTACTTACAATCGTCCGGTGAAGAAAATAATAAAAAATGGTATTTGTATGAGTAATCCCTATATATATATATTGTATTTTATAGATAACAACAGTGTTTTTGTCACAATATAATTACAAAATAAAAAAAGCCTTATACGTATCTTCATTGTCTTCACATAATCTTTTCTAATTTGTGACGGATTGTTTCAGCAAAAGAAGAAAAATCGTTTAATTCCTATGGGCAGTCTTCAGAGCGGCGTGCCACTTTCCAAGGGGTCATGAAACTTACTGTTATGCTTGGTCAATTTGTTGGACTTAACCCAGTTCTTGGAGTTTCTGATGTTGATAGTTCTAAACTAAGGTATATACATATACTGTACTTGTAAACTTAATTTTTCAGTCAAAGAAACGATAAATTGTAATCGTTTATTATAATTTCTATTACATTTTTAACATTGATGTAGTTATTAAATATACCTTAGTAAGAGAGTTAGTTAACGTTGTTTAAAGGTTCACATATTTATCGGGACGATGTGCTTATACTCTTCTTACTATAGTTCTACAAACGCTTCTCCTAAATGTTCTATTTTTATTAAAATACTTTAACGACACGGATACTTCGATTGTTGGAAACAGTAAGTATGTTTAATCTATACATATATAACTATTTATCACTTTAAAAACATATACGTTTTTACTTTTATTATTGAAATTTCACTGTAGATATGTTTAGTGCACTGTATAATGTGTGACGGTACTCAATATATAATGTAATTCTTCAGTAAAATACGTGTTACTTTCAATATACACTAAATGTTTTTTTTTATAATTTTAGCTCCACTGGTTTTCTACTCCTCCACTACAATGATAACCATACTATTTTTGCATATAGCTACAAAATGGCCTAATCTTTGTCGATATATCTCATGGACAGAAGCAATCGACCCTTTGAATGATTATACTCTTGTGAGAAAATGTAACGTTGCCTGTTTACTAGTCCTTTCTCTGGCGTTTGGTAAGCATTAAATTAAGATATAAAATTAAATAATTCACATTTAAAACAGTTCTTATCAACCAAATGAGTTTGCCTTCATTATTTTCGTGTTGACATTAATTAAGAAAATAATAATTATAATGTTCTGCAAAATTGATGTAAAGGAAAAAGTTTAACTAACGAATTTTTTTTCGGTATGAAACTGAAATGAATGTGTATAAAATCACCGTGAATAAAAAAGAATGTTTTGAAATAATAATTTCCTGTTATTTTTGTAGTTGAACACGGTTTGCTTGAACTTTCGGGGTATGTGTTTGCTACGGACTGTAAGCCTCCGGGAAAAGTATATGAAACAATCATCGTTAACAGTTTTCCATGGTTCAATAATATCGTGAATTACAATCTCAGTTTAGGAATCCTTACACAGGTATAATATGAGTTTAATGATAATAAAATGTCTACAATGTACACTTGGGCCGTTAAGGTCTTCGGGACATTTTAATTTTATAGATTTATAGATGATAATTGATAATTTCATTTAGACAGTATAATCAAATTTAATGTTATCTATAATGTAAACAAAACATTTGGTTTCCTTAATACCTTTTATTAATTTCTTTTTCAGTTACTCAATCTTCAGTGTACATTCAACTGGAATTTCTCAAATCTTTTTGTAATAAACATTAGTTTGTATTTGACTTCAAGACTTGAACAAATAAATAATAGGATCTCTGCTAGTAAAGGAAAGGTGTGGATGATCTTAATACATTAAGTGATATGAGATTGAGAGATCATTAAATTATAATTACCTTAAATAACCAGATTAAGAGATGGAATAGGGACATAAATAAACATAGCTAATTATTTAATCATAAAAACATGAATACAAAAAGAATTGTAAAATACCAATAACGAAAAATAAAATAATGTGATATTTTTTATAACATATTTAAAAATAATGTATTTCTAAAATAAAAAGTTAATTGAGGTCTATGTTTTGCGTTCTTTCAGGCGATGCCATCTACATTTTGGCGTAATGTGAGAGAGGATTACAATCGAATAACAAGTCTTGTCCGTAAAGTAGATGATGTCATCGGAGGAGTCATTTTTATTTCATTTGCCAACAATCTCTTTTTCATATGCTTTCAACTGCTTCATACCCTTGCGTAAGTAATAAAAGTGGCAACATGAATCATAAAAATTATATATCTGTTCTATAGAACATAAATAACAACATGAGGATATCCGAGGGTGACGGTCACTACTGCCTACCAAGTAGGCGGTCTGCTCGTTTGGTACCTTTCACATAAAAAACAATAACAATGCACAACTAACTTGTGGCAGTATGTACTTGGTCCCTAATAACATAAATAAACGAAAATATTAAATACACCAAAATTCATTCACATCCAAATTATTTCTATATTTGGTAATAAAGTTTATTTTTTCCTTACCTTATCTCATTTATAAGCTATTCAATGAAGAAAATACCAACTACTCGCTAACAAAGCAAAAATAAACTTGGTATTGTTAGTACCGGTCTGCACAATTGGCCATACTGAAAAGTATTGTGCTTTAAATGGATTGTTTCGTAGTATCGTAGTGTTATTCACTCGGTATATCTTTCATGCCCTTATTTGATAATTACTTTTCTGGACCGTCACGTTTATAAAAACTGAACCTCAAATCTTGTACCCGATATACTCGACCCGACCCGACTCGAAATTAAAATTAAAATACCCGACTCGAAATTAAAATATAGTGAGTGAAACTAAGTTTTTCGGATGGTACATGTTTTTTATTATTTTATACTCTCATAATATCGACTTTTCGGTTCCTTGTAGCAACCATGGTCATGGGAAAAGAGATGTAAGTAACACTTTCGGATGAGTGTAGATAAAAAATATATAAAAAAGAGTATGTAGTATCTGAAAAACTTAATTTTTTTTCAATATTTATATTAGAAAATCTTAGATATTGTTACAAGAATAATTGTTATTCAAAACTTACAAATTGTATGTAGGTACATACACATCTGTGTATGAATAATACCGCATTCAAATAAATGAAATAATGATTTTACGATAAACCGATTTAATGAGCTTGTTATTTTATAGCGGTGCAGTGAAAGCAACACCTTCTTGTCATACTCCAGACCAGAGGTAAAGTTAAAGCTATTATAGAATTTCTTCACAAGACATTACCTTTTTTATTTATCTTTCAGAATATTCCGTGGATATGAACAAGCAACCTACTTCTTATACTCATTAATATTTCTCATTATAAGATCATTGGCACTATCACTTATTGCGGCCAGAGTGCATACTGTGAGCCGACAACCAGTATATACGTTATATGAACTTCCATCAACAGATTATGGCATTGAGGTAAAAGTAATAATGATTGTGACTACATTTTATTTAAATAGTAAAGTGAATTAAATTTTTTTTTTTAGGTACAAAGATTTATAGACCAAATACACGGTGACACAGTTGCATTGACGGGATTACAATTTTTTAAAGTAACCCGAGGAATTGCTTTAGCGGTGAGAGTCAGTTAAAATCATGAAAGTCATTTACAACAAGTAATATTTAAAAATGGTTATAATTTCAGATTGCAGGAACTATTGTAACTTACGAGTTAGTATTAATGCAGTTCACTGGAGTCACTCCTGCCGCAGACATTCATACTGATGACTCAACCAAAGTGTGATTGAGAGTATTTTGACATTTTTTAGTATTACTCTAATTTAATGTCTCTCTTATAAATAGCACAAAATTGGTGTGTACCTTAAAAGATTATTAAAATTTGCTATACATATTTGTATAAATTTAGAAACCTTGTGAATTGTTAGTATCGATGAGAAGCAAAAATATGAAGTAATTTAATAAAACCATAATTTATAAATTGCTAATAAAGTAACTGTATTATATTAGAACATTTACCTATTCAAATTACTGAGAACGGATGTTTATTTTACCATTCATTGTATAATTAAATGTTTATGCTTTGTATACTTTACATTGATTATTCGATAATGTTATCATAAAAATCAGTTTTTTTATTGATAGAGTAGTAATAAACAGTAGCATCTCTTCAGATATTATATCCAGTGAACGTACTTAGGGAACTGATAAATTCTCGCTAGATAAAATTAATCTATTCAATCGGTATGTAAGATTTACAGATATCTTTAACCGAAAGTTTTAATAGAAGATTGAGAACTAGATTACAACATTTCATTCAATATTTGTACTTCAAAGTAATATATGAATGTAATAATTGTTTTATTGGTGATTTTAACGTAGTATATCCAAAAATCTTAATTTTATTTAAACGTATACACACGAACATCTTCGATACCATTATCTTAACGTGATTTACATTCTTTTATATTAGTATAATAGTTCATTATTATAAAAATAAACTAGTGCAATTTGTATGTGAGTTGTAATAATATAAATTAATGGTAATGATATTTTTCCCTAATAATTAAAATGTCCAAATACATTAAAATTTATGTAATAACTTAAAACTAGAACCATAACGTTTTTTACAAAATATTGTATATTTTATTTCTGGAAGCTGTTATGAGGGAAAACTAGCTCTTGCTGAATGACATTGTAACTTAGCCTCTCATTAATGTTTTACATTGAATATTATAAAATAGAATGTCAGATCCGAACTCGGAAATAAGTTAAAGGTTGGTGAGTTATAAGTATTGAAGTGGAGGTTATAGTTCACTTACTATTTCTTATAGTACATATGCCTAAAAAAATCTTAGAGACTCTTTGTCTTACGATAGAAATGAAAAAATATATATCATAATAACTTATATAAAAATACTTTCATTAAATAATATAAAATTATAAATTAAATATATAATAAGCAAAATATAATAGGTTTTATAAAGAACTAAAGAAATCTTCGATCAACAAAACCCACGAAAGTAAGTTATTTTACTTTGTTCTTATTGCTACATATGGGGTGAGTTACAATTATAAATTTCAATATTCCAAATTATTAGGTTTCCAAATTTTATGAAAATCCATGTAATAAAGTTAAATTAAGGGACTGTCACTTAGCAACTGCCAATTAAACGACCTTGTCATGAATTTCTATTTAGTTCCTTTGTTCGTGGAAAGTAGTTAGACTCTATACGATCTTTGTGTTAAAATTATCAAACGCGTTTATTATCAACCACCAAACTTTGTTAATGAAATAAAGGATACACGCGTGAATGGATTGATTCACAGTTCTTGTGACACATATTGTCAGGCACATTGATAAAAATATTTTTGATAATTTCTAAAAGTACTCATCCTTAAGCATTTAAATGCAATTAAAATCTGCTACTTATATTTTATGCATAGTCATATATTTAAAGTACACAATAATTACAGTAATTTAAAAATATTAAAATCACGCAATAATCGCATACACAATCGACTTCTACCCATTTGCATAAAGTATATAGTTATCTACCAATAAATAGTTCGTGTGATTAAAAAAGAAATAACATTTAACATACATATATACGTTGTATAAAATATTATCATTATATGCATACTTAATTGTTTGTAGATTTCAAACTAAAATAGAAATTCAGAATTCAAAATTTATGACACTAGTAGGATTTTTGTTTGTATATCCCGTTTAGTTGTATTTGCCTTATCAATTAATATTAACTTAAAAAATAACAGATTTTTACTAACCACACATAAGAAAAACACTAAAAAGATTACGCAATAATGAACACGTAAACAAAAAGAAAAACATAGTCTATATTTTTTTCAATAAATAAATATATATTTTATACAAAGAGGTTTCCCACGATTAAGTAACCGTAACGATGAGTGAGAGCATTCTTACTACTAGTGACATTCGCACAGCTATCAAGTTTCTTGCGTAGTACCAGGAATCTTCTAATTTACACTGCCAGGTGTTTCCTCGATCCAGTATTGTATATGTATTATAATGATATGATCTCGGCACTGTTCGTTAAATTTTCAATTTATATTTCCCTTAAGAAGCAGTTATCACTTCTAATACAAAATATTAATGAGATAAATAGATATGGCAACAACACTATCAACTATGTACAGATGCAGATAAGTGGCTGATAATGTAGGTAAGAGCAAAAACGACGGAGATACCGAGGTCAAGCACCAATACGCTAATGAAGTGCACTTTTTGTTGTTAGACTTTAACTGCTCTCGTCTCGTTCATTGTCATGTTCTCGATTTGTCTGATAGTTACATGTTTTATTACGAGAAAATACAAAAAGATAACCCAATGATTACAAGTAAATATAATAAAGTAAAATATAGTTGTAAAATGATCATGATAAAAATAAATTATTTTTATCAAATAATTTTGGTTACTTTATTGTGTAAATATGTTTTCGATAAAGAACAAAAGAAAATACTTAGTCGTGGAAAAAACTATACGTCTATTTTAATTATACTATAAAAACATTTATTTTGAAATAGTTTTCTAAATTTGTTTTAAAATTAAGATTATTTTGAATGTAAAACATAAAGGTACATGAAATATAGTTAATCATTAGTTCATTTATAAAAGACAAATTAGGTTCTTTGATAAATTAAAATTTTGAGGCTTAGATTCCGATGGCAAAGTTCAAATTGGTCTACCTGCAACATTTTGAACTGTTTGCTGAGGGTGATTTGGAATGTGGTCGACGTCGCTACAAACTTTGTACGGTTAACGGTGTAATTACTGAGGTAGTATTAAGGAAGTTAAATAGAATTAAAATAACGAAAATAAAGTCATCACTCTTAGTTATGCATACAATTTTGAGAAGCAAAAAGCAATTACAGTATCTCATACATAATGTTAATGATGACTCACTATAAATATTATCTTTTAAATACTCGTTTAGTTTTATAGTATGTATCACAAACGTTTGACCCAAAATATTCTAATTATATGTGAACCTTATTATACTATATCGAATTAAAATCATTATATTAACACTTGCGGCAACATCAAGGTATATATTGTAATTTGATATTGGCAAAACCAATCTTTGAACAATTATTATAAAATAATAAAGGAAAATTGCTGAATAAACATAAGGATGTTATCAATTACTTGTTCATGATATACTTTGAAGAAGTTTTAAATTAAGTTTTATATGAACTGTTAGTCCTTAAATAAAAGTAAATATCATTTATGATAAAAGTAAATATTTTATTTTTATCTTAAAGAGTTCGTATATTACGAGACTATAATTGCAAAGGATAGTATGTGTGTTCTGTTTATTATTTCTCTTTAATGTTTTTTTTTTAATAAGATACAATTACTTTTATAATAATTGTGCTTAAGTGGAAGAAAATCAATTAATAATTTCATCAAAAATATGCAATCATACGGTACTAAAACAATTTGTTCGGCGAGTAGATTCCTAATAAATTTTATTATAATATTTTTTAAGTTTTTGTGTCTTTATTTCAATATGATCAGTGGTGGCCTAGTGGTTAGAGGGCCCGCCTCTCGTGCCCGAGGGCACGGATTCGATCTTGGCAAGTACCAATGTGATTTTTCCGAGTCATATGTACTTTCTAAGAGTATTTAGTCATAACTGATAGACGGAGAAGGAAAACATTGTGAGGAAACCTGGAATTATAATTTGACAATTATAAGTTTGAAATTACCAACTCCATGTGAGAAAGACGCCTTTGCTCAGCAGTGGGCTCTGATTGGCTGAAAAAAAAAATTATCAGACCTGAAAACGTATAAAAATATTCAAAAAATATTTTCTAAAACTTATTTCTAAATCTTTATAACTTTCGAAAGGGTAAAAACGTTTAAACTATAAAACAACTTTAATACACCTCTGTTGAACTGATTCTTAGATTTAATTATCTTTACAGTTTTCAACATTTCCAAGAACAAAAGGATCACTGAATAATGAAATACTACTGACGTAGGACTAAAAGCTCACAATTATAAGATAAGTCATAAATACTAACAAGATTGTCAACTTAGTCTACTTTAAGTTTTATTTTAAGAAGTAATTATAGTGGGCTTTTGTTTCATCTTGGTATCTTAAGTTGTCATCTTAAATAATCCGCTTCTTTCACGTCTAGATAAAAAGTTTAATTCGTACAGCTACCAATTCTAGTCATTTCACTCTTTAATAGGTACTTAAATTGTAAAAGTATCGGCTTCTTTAATGGCAAGTCGTTTGATCCGAAGTATGCATTGCTTCTTTCTTATAACAAAGTAAGACTGTCTTGTACAGTTAACTTAAAATAAATGGCTAATAAAAATACATCCCCTTTTATGTAAGATACTACTAAATGTGAAGATATTAATTTGATAATCATATATTACGAAAAAATGCTTAATTTAAATCATATATAAAGTTGCTTTTAGGAATTGGACACACCTCTGTGGTGTAATTAATGTATTTATTTTATTTTCTTTTTCGGAGTGACCAGATAAGGTTTTTTTTAAAGAAAATGGCTAAAAATCATTTGGCACAATATTGTAGGTAAAAGCAGCAAAATTTTTAGTTAATATTATTTTTTTTTTGCTAAGAATTAAAATTTTGAAATATAAAAGGCAAATTAGATAAAAATTCCGTGCAAGTAAAGCTCTTGAAGTGTAATATTCATGCAGTTCGCTAACGTAACGAGGAAAATTTAAAACGCTGATATAGTTACTTGATTCTCCTTTTCTCACTC